AAAAACGTCGAAAAACACAAGAATTAGTAGAAATATTCCTGTTTTGGGCGGATTATTGATTGAGAATAATGTTTTATTACAAAAATGCTGAAATACCGTGAGTTTTTGTCTTGTTATCGGCGAAAAACTGCGATCTCGGCAAATTTGGTTGCACAACTTTTCTCTATCATATACACCCAGCGACACCGATGCCAGCTGACTGTGGTTGAAAGTTTGTGAGTTTGATTTTTCAATGAAAATAGAAATACCCAAAAATTTCGATTTTTCGAATGGGCGAATTCATGGCAGAATCCGGTATGTTGCCCGTAACTCGAAGTTCTGTTTACAATTTTTTTACAATTTTGTAACTCGATGTTACATATTATGTTGCATATGACGCTCAGCCAAAGTGAAATAGGCTCGATAATTAGACAAATAGAATCGATAATTACAGTAAAGGGCAGGTAGTGATAACGAACAGCACGCGTTAGAATTACGGACCATTTGATATCCTGGAAGCAGGAAGATTTTGTGAAAAAACAAATTCTATGACAATGCTTGACAAAAAACCCCACACTATATGCATGTAAAATTTAGAGACAAGGTCTGCTGAAAAAAAAAAATCCATATCAGATAGGGGGAAAAAGTCGGCTTCATTTCAATCTTCATGCCCCCCAGGATATCAAATGGTCCGCCCCCAATGTATTTCACAGGCGTTGTATTCGTCCCCGTGACTCCCATATCTAACACGACGCGTCGTGACGAACAACGCTTTTTAACTGTAAGCGTCGATGATTAACCACAGTCAGGTGAGGGCTGAAAAATCCATATAAATCGGCCAGTACTTCAAGTTAACCGGGTGAAACCCCGGCATAACCTCTGACCTCAATTATACGGCGCGGGATTCATGGCTCCTGTATGGCTTCCTTTATATGTCACGCATTCAATTTCGACGTATATCAGCGATAACTCGACTTAAAAAAGTCCCATCTTATACATAAAAGCCTTTTAAGTGAATTTGTTAAATAAAAAATTAGATATTATAGAACGTTTTTTTGTTTTAATATCGAGACTTCGTTATGAGGCAGTTAGGTGGCCCAATCGAACTCGTGGTCTAGTAGATTTCAAAATTTGTAGCTGCCCAAAGGCCCGTCTACTTAATCGAACTGATCGTAGGTGAGTGTTTCCTTCAATTTAGTATTATATAAAAAACAGAAAAAAAAATGTGAGTGTGATGCCATATTGTCGTACTTTTAGGTCAGTATTTCATTGTTATTAAAGTTGATCACAAGTGAATGACCGAGCGTCTTTGTTACAGTGTGACGTCATTTTAATGATGTCCACTTGCAGTTTGAATGCCAGAGAGTAGGTATTTTCAAATGCGTTCAAATCATTAATTAATTATTGTCATATTTACACTATTTGTCATTTTGATAAATAGGAGAACATGAGCGTTGTGTTCACGGCGCCATTTTGGATTTGACCTATGATTGACCTTGCGTCAGTTTATCCGTATAGACAATTTAAAATTATAGCAATTTAAAACACATTTACATGTTGATTTTGGTTAAAGCGCGGCAGTTGTCGCACTGCGCATGTGCGAGATATATGGGTCTCATATAAACAAAGATGGCGACTTTGACTGTTATGCAGATCATAGAGTATGAACTGACACGTTTTCAAGCTTTAATTAGGTAATTTTCATGTGATTGGAAGATATCGAAGGAGTCACCAGCAGCAATCAGTGCAAGTCGCGCCCAGGTCAAACCTCATGCTTGTGATTTCCATTTGAAGAGCGCATTGGATTGTAGGAAAATCGACGTCTACTGCGCTTTAAGGGAGCACTATATTATGGAAGGTTATATATAATATAAATATATACGCCATCTAAAATTTGTTGAAACAACAAAATGAACTGTGGAAAGTATGGTAGCAGAAAAAAAATACGTCAAAAAATGGAATGTACTGATTTACTAGCATTCATGACAATCTATGTAACGTTACTGTCACCGCCATGTTGTTCAGAACACCAGAACGTGTTACATGTGCGTCTCGAGATGGTCACATGATTAGAAGTAGTTACATGTAGTTCTAACCACTTTAACCCTTTTCCGGTCAGGGGAGTTTCACGCTATCAGGTTAAGTCGTTGAAAAACGGTCATGATTCAATGCACTCCAGTAGCCAGCATCTGTGCATGCTATCCTGCCAGACATTTTTGCAAAAATAGGCCATAGTTAACAGACTGTATCGACCACAGTTTTCACATTTTTTGCAATCTGTTTGCATACACACTTCATTACCACCATGGACAACAATTTCTCGTATAAAAAAAATCACCGTTTTATTTCAATACACATTTTTTACTGTCGTTAAGTAACGATGTTTTGCCCTTTGTACAGTCTCAATAAACACGTGTTAAACATTGAAATAAATATTGCTTAATTGAAAACACATTACAAGCAAGTACAAGGTCACTACATGACTGCAAGTTCGAAGTAAGAAGAAAAAAAACGCGTGAGTATGGGGATATTTGGGACATGTACGGGGGAAAACGTGTTTGACGTACTCGACCCGTTAGCGTACATTTCAAATTGCAACGTATATTCAACGACTTGAACTACATGTGTAACATATTACAACGTACTTTCCGTGACTTAACTGATGTTATATTCAAGCTCTAACGTATATTAACCGACTTGACCGTATGAGTAAGTCCACACTTACAACGTATATTTAACGACTCAAACTGAGACTGAAACGAACGAGAACGTAACTGCAACGACTTGATCGGGGTTACCTTCACACGGCAACGTATATTCACCGACATGACCACATTAACCAACTAAATATTTCAACGTATATTTAACGACTTGAAATAAAACGAACTAGCGAGAACGTAACTGCAGGGACTTGGCGTGTATATATACTCACGCAGAAACGTATTTCCACCGACTAGACCCGATGAACTATCCTGACATTAAAAC